GGTATATCAAATAATGAATTATATAATAAAAATAATCATATTATTTAAATTTTAAATTTTAAATTTCAAATTTCAAATTTCAAATTTTTAATTATTTTGGACACTTTTTGTAAACATGAATTGCACACGTAATAATTCTCTTTAATTTGATGTTTTAGGAATGACGCACTAAGTTATCATTGAGTTATTACAAAATTTGAATTATTTATAATATATAGTATATTTGAATAGAAAGGAATTGAGAGAATGTGTGAGGAAAGGGAAAAAAATATTTTTATTTAGTTATCACGAGAGATGGAGGAGAGAAAAGATAAAAAAATTTTCTTCTTTCTCTTTCAACTCAATCATACGAGAACGAGTGGGAACTAAACACGTATTGTATTTTTAAAAAAATTGGAGTCGGACAATGTGTGGTGCAGAAGTAATTGATTAGATTCGGTAAGGACTAGGAACGTGTTTGCCGACATGTTTTTTTGCATGTAATTTTGTCCGGGTCACATAATTTATTATTATTTTATTTGTTTATAATTTTTAAAAATAATTAATTATAATATTTAAAAATATTTATTTATAAATTAATTTTTTTGAATAATAAATATTAATTTTTAATTATTAATTATTTGTAATAATTAAATTAAAATATAAATTTAACAATACGTGACTTCAACAAATTTAAGTAAAGAGATAATGATGGCCGTGTTTGTTGGGAACAAAGTTAGGAGAACATTTATTTTATTATTATTAATTATTTTTAATAATTAAATTAAATTAAAATTTAACAATACGTGACTTTAACCAATTTAAGTAAAGAGATAATGATGGCCGTGTTTGTTGGGAACAAAGTTAGGAGAACATTTAAACCTAACAGAAGAGATACTGATACAGATAAATTGTCACCATCTAGCATAATTCCTTGACCAGATCAGCCATACTAGTCCTTAATTATTTGGAGATGACTTTTCAGTATGGTAATCGTGCACGATGGTATGGAATTAAGCACGTCATAGACATTGGTCTGAATATGAATTCTCCTTTTTTGTTTTTTTTTTTAATGTTTTATATTTTTTTTGAGTTTTATTCTCTATTTATTATTTCAATTATTATACTATTTGTTAATTTATGTCATTATGATATTTATTTTATTTTACATGCTTTTTATTGTCATAATTTTATTTATTTTATTTAACATATTAATATTAATTTATTAAATACTATAATTATATTATGTGCATTATGTTTTTTTTTTATAATTTGATTGATATTTTTTACTTTATAATTA